TGAGGTTCATTTTAGGAAATACTGTGGCAGAGAGGCGGCAAGAGGCATTGTGTTATCACGGATTTCCTTTATGAGCTTACAGAACCTCTTGAGGCGCCTTAACCGTAGTCAGTGGGGTAATGTTGTTTTTTAATGTTTTGGTTTCTTCTCTGAAACCAGTCTGTGGCTAGATTTTTGTTTTTAAATGTAACAATGATATAGGCATGAATTATGTTATGAAGAAAGTCTCTCTCACCCCATTTATTGCCTTGCTCCTGAAGTTGGGATTTTAAAAAATCTGATAATTTGGTGGGTCAGTCACAATAAGATTTCAAAACTTTCCTTTAAATTATTGGAAGACTTGCAGTGTCTAAAAATATAAGGTTCTGTTGCCTCTTGTGGATTAAGTTCTCGTCATCTTGAAATACCACGGTGTTGAAATAGTCCCGCTGAAGCATAGCTGATCCCCATGGACTGCAGCATCTGTTGGCACGTTGGGGCTGCTGCGGTCTTGAACCGTGACCGTGACTCCAGGGAGACTCGGGACAGCGTCCTGCGTGGAAGCCTGTGGCGTGAGCACAGAGATTCTGGGATGGCGGACGTATCCATTCCCCCCGTTTCGGGCCTGGACACGCACTTTAATGCTGCGGTGGGGATCTGGTGTAGCAGACGTTGCTGGAGTCACAGACTTTTTTGCGTAGAATGGTAGAATGACTGTGGGGACGGACTGCCAGGGACGCTGTGGGCAATGAGGCCGTCCCCCTGCTGGCGTCAAGAAGGACTGCAGGCTAACAGGAGCACAGTATAAATTGGCTTTGCTCCTTCTCCCCCATTACCTGTATGGACCCCCCTGGGGAAGGGAGAAGGCGGACACACGGCCTCAGTTTATAGTGGACGTCGTCCACTTCCGGGGACTCTCTTTCAGAAACAGGGCTGTTTCCCTGGTGTGTATCTGTTCTTGATTTTTGTTCGGGGCCCAACTCAGACGTGAGGCGGGCTTACGTTTCTTTGCGGGATTATTTTAAGCTGTTCATCAGAGGCGATTTTTCTCTTGGGTTCTTTGAAAAGGACCACGTGGAAAAATGAAAGAACGCCGACGTCTTGGTAAACTTCTCAGTATGAGGAAGTGAGGGCACTGCTTAGGAGAACAGTGTGACCATTCTGCTGGAAACATACAAGGGCTAATATCTAACACCCTTGAACTTGGATTTCACCCATGATGTCATGACTCCCCTCGTATTACGCCCAACAACCCAGACTTTGTGGTACAAAAGCCGTTTGTGTCAGCTGGTTCCTGTCGAGTGTGGTCTGGCACAGACACAGAAATATTTGAGAGAAGTGGCATCGTCGGGAACCCTGATGGCAGTGGTAGCTGGGAGGGGGCAGGCAGCTGCGTTTGTCACGGCCTCACTGACATTTCACTCTGAGGGTCTCACCATACGATGCTTCTCTGCTTGTGAAATGCTGAACGGTCATTCTTGGCGCGGTAGTTAGCCCGGAGGACGCTCACCCCCTCGAGGGTTCTGCCGAGCGCCTGCAGCTGCTAGGGTTCCGTTTTGCAGGGAACGAATGTGCACAGGGCAGAGCTGCCTCCTGGACACTCCCTTCCCGAGGGGCGGCGTGCTCGAACTCCAGGGACCCAGTCCTGCCCTTTCGACAGACGCCATCAGAGGGTACCGTAATCGCTTCCTTCCTGAAGATCCACTAGAACAGGGGGACCGTAGCCAACCACACTGAATGAATGGAGAATCTGAAGCAGAGAGTTTTATTTGTAGTTATTTATATCCACCTTGTTCCCGAAAGTACTTAACTTTAAGGACAGGGACTAAAAGACTTAATGGTAACCCTACGGCAGAGCTGGAATTAACTTCTAAGGCATTGTTTCCAAGGGAAATATGTCTTCCTTCTTTTAACCCAAGGAGAGTGTGTAAGGAGGAATTCATCCCCATAAAACAGGCTCAAGCGGAGAGCAGTCCTCATCCATCGTGGTTCCAGATAGCTAGGATTATACAAAGCCATCGTTAATGACCTTGCCGGCCAAGGTACTTCTTCACTGCCTGGACAGTAAGAGAGACATCCTTTTATTTTATTAGTTGTATCTGTGCACCTTTCATCTCTCTTCAGTCCGAAAGCCCTCTGGAATGTTCTGGTGACGTTTGCAGAGCGGCGTCTGCAGGGACTGTGTGGGTGCCTGTCGTCCGTGGGCTGGGGCCTCTAGGAACTGATTCGCGGACCCAGAGCTGGCCCGCTGTCTCTGCTGCCGGCTGGCCTCTTTAAGAACTCTGCTTTCTTCCGCAGCCAGATCCCCCACTGTTCCTTATGTTTCTTTCCCTCCGCAAGGGGTATGGTTTTCCTGCCTCTTCCCAACCGCCCCCTCTCCCCAAGACCTCCTGATTCCTCCCCAGCAGGCTCACCACCTGGTGGCTGGATACAGTGACCTGAACCTGTCTTCACAGAGAAGCCCTGTCCTTGTCCCAGGAAGTAAACATGGACGATGGTGGCTTCCTGGACGTGTTATCGGGACCCCAAAGGCTCAGTGTAACTTTCCAGTGTCGGACAGTTAGCCTCCCTCGCTAACCAGACCCAGCCACCGATTGTGTTAACCTCCACAGACACTCTGTGCACATGTCGTATGTGCTTATTTTAAACGTCTCCGGGGAAGACATTTGCATGGTGTCCTGTGGTCACCTGTTCAGTGAGGGCATCGTCACTCCCAGCGCTGTGTTTGGAGTGATTGGTCTCGAGCAGGCAGGCTTCTCTCTAGGGCACAAGGGCACCGAGTGGAGCTTTGGGGACAGGGAGGAAGGCCAAGGAACACGGCAGGCTGGGATATCCGTGTCTTCTCCCGTCGGTCACACTAATTGGCAAGGGTGCCGGGGCCCCGGTGGGAACCGTTGTCATCTGCCCACCTGCACTGGAAGCGTCTACAGGTCGTCTTCCTTGTCACCTTCCAGTCTCTTAAGGGTTTTAGGCCAGCCCCTCACGTGACACAGCTTTGCCTTCAGGGGAGTTGAGGCCTTCAAGCAAGCTTGGACCGCGCATTCTGTGCCGTTCTGGGCCTCCTCTGAGCTTCCTGGAATGTGCTTAGTTCTCTGGACTGTACTCTTGGAAGGTCTGACAAGGTTTGTGTTCACGTTCGGCTCGTAAACAGAGCGTGCAGAAATGTCAGCTGAAGTCCACTCACGCTCACTCTTCTTTCTGGACACTCCCCTTCCGCCTGCCTTTCAAGCCCTCCAAGAATGCAGAGCTCCCAGCGTCATCGGCCACACGGGGAGGGGGGCCACGGCCGCAAAGAGTTAATGGAAGGAGCTGGCTGTAGACGGTGGCAGCTTCCATCCGGGCCTCCCGGGACGAGGGGAGGGAGGCCGTCCGGCCAGTCCCCGGGGCAACTGGAAAGGCCGCCGTTGGAGCCCGCCGGCCCACCTCCCCTGGGTGCATGTGAGGATAAGCGAGCTGCAGCTGTGGCCTTACAAGGTCACAAGAAACCTGTAGCCGCCGAGTCAAGCGGAGGAGGGGGAAGAGGCTGGAGCGACTATTCCTAAAGCAGAGTATCCATCAGGGGCCGGGGGAGGGGAGTTGGCACAGAGGAGCCGGGCGGGCCCCTGCCGAGGTCTCCAGCGCACTATTTAAGGATCCCTAAGGATGCTGGCTGCTGAACAAGCCGTGGTGTTCCCAGGAGCTGCCCCTTGTCCACACCCGCGCCCTGTGGCGCCTGGCCGGCTCCGCACTCTGGGGAGCGTGCGAGTTTGTCCAGGTGCCTGCCTTCCAGCCGGGCGGCCGGCGGGGCTGTCTCAGGGACAACAGTGCCCGCGGTCCCGTCACCGCGCAGCTGTGGGCCTCCGGGCGTCCCGGAGGTCTAGACTGCCGGGCCATCCGATGCTCACGCTGGGGGTGGTGTTGGCTCTACGTGGAAGGAAGGGTGAGGAGTCTGAGCTCTGCCAGCTTCCTGCCTCACACCGTCCGTGTCAACACTTAGGGCCCTCCACCCACATCTGGTTATTGTAACTGTCTGATTGATTTTTACTCGAACACTGTCAGCTCTGTGTGTCCTACACCCCATCCTTCTTGGTGTTCTCTTTCTGTGGGTCCCAGAGATGAAGGGGGGTGTCTGTCCGACTTCATTTGTATCGGCAACGGTATTTTGTATTCCACACCTCTCCCTTGCTCTCCCTCTATTTACTCATTCAGCTCACTTGTCCTCGCTGCTTTCCAGAATGCCCTTCCTAGTCTTCTTTCAGCCCACCCACTTCCTTTGCCCTCATCTTGCCCGTCCTCTGTGAAGCCCTCTCACCTCGCTGCGGCCCTATGTTTGCATTCTCTTTTAAGTTCTTAGGGTATTAATTATATATACCTTTAGTCTTATGGTTCATAAAATGTTTCTGCATGCATGTCTCCGCTGAACTTCCACGTATGCCCTCCCCCTCCCCCCCCCACCGTGTGTTGGGAACTCTCCCGCCCACGGGGCGATATGAAGATGAATGGGACCTCCCTGCCAAGAGCTTACAAGACAGTAAGGGACACAGATACGAAGCAAACAATCACGACTGGGTAATTACGCACCCCACGAGTATTTTGAGTGCAGCGCTAGCCTAGAAGAGAGAGGATCGGTTCTCTTTGGAAGAAGGAGGAAATGTTTCAGATGGAGGATAGAGCACATTAGCTGGGTTTTGAAGAATGACTAGGAGCCTGTCAGGTAACAAATGGGCGTAAGAGGAAAAGAATCTTCCGGGTCAAGAGAACAGCCGCTGTGAAAATACGGAGGCCTGACATACCGTGACTCGCAGCAGTGTGTGACATTTCACATATTAAACACACATCTGTGTCTCGTAGAACATTGTGACACGTTGATGCCAGCTTTTCCCAGTTAGGTGACCAAGCTGCTCGACATTTATCCAAGTCCCTCCACATCTTAGGCACTTAATTTTAACCCCAGGATTGTTCCTGGCATGCAGTTTCCGAGCCAGGAGACGCGAGGACCCGGGCGATCAGATGTGACTGGTTTTGCTTCTGTGTTTGTTCAGACCAAGGATGCCCTGTTCACGATTCTCCACGACCTCCGACCCCAGGATCATTTCAATATCATCGGCTTTTCCAACCGCATCAAAGTGTGGAAAGACCATCTGGTGTCAGTTACCCCCGACAACGTCCGCGACGGCAAAGTGTATATCCACCACATGTCGCCCAGCGGAGGTAAATGCGAGTCCTTGTTTCCACGCTGGCTTCGACGTGATAATAAGTGAGTAGCTAATTTTCTGCCAAGAGACAAGGATTTGAAAGCCAAAGCCGATCACAGGAAAGGAGATAAAGGTGAGCGCTTTCCCAGAAGCTTACGTTTCTCTGGACACCAAGTCTGTAAGTTCTCGTCTTCCAGGCCCGGAGTAAGATGGCCAAGTAGGTTAGGGGGGAAATACTCGATAGGTTTTGGAGCCTTTCCTGGTTTATCTCACGGAGCCGAACAACGAAGCCGTTTTTGTGCACTGCTCTCGGGTGGGGAATCCGAGTCAAGGAAATGGTTCCGTGTTTTGTGTGCCTGAACGTTAGCAGCGTCAGCGGGACAGCCTCGTTGGCCAGTCTGTGCCAGCGAGAAGAGCACAGGGCCCAGGCGGCCTGGGAGATGCTGTGCACGCGGAGCGTGACGAGCTCGGAGTCTTGCACACTGGGCTCGGGCACGGGGCGCAGGCAAGAGTGCGGAGGACGGAGACAGTCATACAGGATTTAAGGAGATAGGAGAATCGGGACAGTACATTACCCAGCTGTGCTCGATGCCCGTTCCTTCGGCTCAGGACTGGGGCTCACTCTCGCTGGCGTGTCTGTCCCTAGCACAGGGGGCACATGACCGGCGCTCAGTGTTGGGGTGTTTATGAAACCTCATCCCGACTCCCTCCCCCGCTTTCTGAAAAGGGCCTTTGCAGAGACACCTTCTTCTGGGGTGACTGTTGCGGTTAATTCTGTTTTGGTTATTGGGGAACCTACTTAGTTCAGTTTTCTTCTGACGTTTTTCATCTTTCGTATGTGTATTATTTTCTATCTTCATCTTTCGATATGTATTATTTTCTATCCAAGACAGAGCTCTGATTCCCCAAACTTTGTTTGGAACTTGATCTTGCTTGGATGGGGCTTTGACTTTGCAGTGGGGCTTCCTACTGCCTCCACAGCCGTGTGATATGGGGACTGCTTGACGGGTTGATGGGAGAGAGAAAAGATCGGATTTAATAACACGGCAGGAAGTTGACGAGACTCAAGTCAAGTCCTTGAGGGAAGAAACTCTTCATCTTTGCATGGCCCCTGGTTCCCAGCGTAGCTCCTGACATACAGCTCGTGCTCAACGAGTATTTGCTCAATTGAATGTATTTCAGTGGCACTACTCACTCTCAGAATGGGGTGTGTGTGTGTGTGTGTGTGTGTGTGTGCGCGCGCGTGTGTGTGTGTGTTGGCAGAGGGTGTGGGGATAAAACTTTAGGAGACAGCTGATGCGTATTATGTCCTTCTGGAGTCCACACCTTAGAAACCTTATTGGTCTCCTGTATTTTTTCTCCATGTGGCCATCACCCCAACCTCTATAGGTGAACAGAAGATTAATCTGTTCCTCTCAAAGAAGCGGGGACATCAGGATCAGGAACATAGGTTCTGAAGCCAGCCCCACCGTGTCTGAGCCATTTTATGTGTCTGCACCTGAGTTTCCTCCTCTAAAATGGGGACAGTAATGGGATTGTGATCAGGATGAGATCAGTTAAAATATCTGAAGTGCCGAGAACAGTGGCTGGCACACGGGAGGGTCTCTTTCGTGTCAGACGTGGCCGATTTCACCCAAGTAGTCCCTCTTGCTGGTGCACGTGGGTCCTCTGATGACCTGGGTGGGCTGTCAGGGGGAGGGCTGGGGCAGCTCTGTGGGGCCCCCCCACTGGTGGAGGGAGCCTCCCCGTTCTTAAGAGTGCAGGAGATGCCCCCCACCCCCCATCTTAGCATGGGTTTGGTTCAGGCCCTGCTGTGCTTTTGGTGCTGGTATTAGAAAAGCTAAGTGCATCCCTTTGCCTGGGCTCCTTGGCCTTAAGGTGGAATAAAAGGTTGGGCACCATTGCCAGGTTCTAGATTAAAGGGAAAATAAACACCTGCCTTTTCTTCCAGGGCCATATATCCAGAGGCCAGGTGAAAGTAAGCTGGGCTTCCAGAAAGGCATGTTAATGAGCCCAAAGAAATGCTAAATACTATTTCAGCTGTAACTTTCCCTTATCTTCAGACTCTGTGTGCATCTTAGAATTATCAGTGTGTTTGCACGGACATAGACGGGTATTGTTTTTGTTTGTTTGCTTGTTTTGTTTTTGTTTTAGCCAGAAATTCTGGAGAATGTGAAGCAATGGGGGGAAATTATGTGGTTCACTGAAACATGGTACATTTTGCAGGTAGTTAAAAATCCCTCCGGTGAGGGTGATTGATTGCGGTGATGATGGGTACACCGCTTTGTACATTTACTGAAAGTAATTCATTGTGTACCGAAAGCGGGTAAGGTTTTTGGTACATAAATTTCATCTCAGCGAAGTCATTAAGAAAAAAAAAAACCCACTGAGGGGCACCACGGTGGCTCAGTTGGTTAAGCATCTGACTTTGGCTCAGGTCGTGATCTCATGGTTCATGAGTTCAAGCCCCACGTCGAGCCCCCTCCTAGAGCCTGCTTTAGATTCTATGTCTCCCCCTCTCTGCCCTTCCCCTGCTTGTGTTCTGTCTCCGTCTCTCAAAAATAAATAAACATTTAAAAAAAGAAAAAGAAAAACAACCCCCCTGGAGCCAGGGGGGCAGAAATACGTGTTCGCACTCAGTCTTCCTGGGTGGTTGTAGAACAATAGCCACCGAATGAAATTCTTAGCTAATCCAGAAGGCTCATCTCGGGGCCATGCCCACCTCCACCAACCAGCCACCCGTCTCTCCATCCAGCAAGCACATACCTTTCCGGCACCTGCCGCAGACACTGTCCCTGGCTTTTGACGGAGCTGCTGGCGACAAGCTGTGTGAAGGGGAAATGGCAGGGGCAGAGGTGGGGACGGGAGGCATAAACTTTAAAGCCTCTGCCTCATGGGGGTTCTGATAGGCAGAGGTAACCCGAAGGGGCGGGAAGCAGAGAAAGGAGAGGCAGCAGAGGCCTTCCCCAGCTGCCCTTTCTTTCCCTGTGGGACTCGCCCTCCCTCCAAACTCCTGTACCCGACCCCTTTGGGGTTGCCCTTTACAGAGCTCTTCCCAGGAAAGGAGTGGGAGCCGTTGATGCTCAGGTAGTGAGGGGCTCGAGCCAAGGCACCTTCCCCAGCATACGTTCGGGAGTTCTGTACGGGGGGATAGTCCCGTGCCGCTTCCGTCCATTCGGCAAACGCTGGCGAGTGTCCAGACAGGCTATGTAAGCTGACATCACCCGCCTGTGCGGGTGACCCCCTCCCACGCACGTACTCCTGCTAACGCCTGAACGTGGCGGGGTGTCCGTGCCTGACCGTGCATGTGTGCAGCACGAGGGCTTGAGCCGGCCTGTTTTGCTGTTCCCCAGGCACGGACATCAACGGGGCGCTGCAGAGGGCCATCAGGCTGCTCACTGACTACGTGGCTCACGACGACGTCGGAGACCGCAGCGTGTCCCTCGTCATCTTCCTGACCGACGGGAAACCCACCGTCGGGGAGACCCACACCCTCAGGATCCTCAACAACACCAGGGAGGCCGCCCGGGGCCAGATCTGCATCTTTACCATCGGCATCGGGAACGACGTGGACTTCAAGCTGCTGGAGAAACTGTCGCTGGAGAACTGCGGCCTCACCCGGCACGTTCTCGAGGAGGACGACGCGGGCTCACAGCTCGTCGGGTCCGTCCGCGCTGGACAGTGAGACTCAGGCTCTCAGAAGGGGGTGCGGGGCCGTGTGGCCGGAACCCATCACACTGGGTGGCGTCGGAAGGGGTTTTTAAACCAGGTCGATCCGGGTTCAGGTCCTGGCCCTGCTTTGTGACTCTAGGCACGATTCGAGCCAGTCTGCGCCCCGTTTCCTCGTCTGTGACGTGAGGGGTACGGTCGGCTGACAGAGTTTAGTGAGAAAACCGTGCGGACTGTTGGCGGGATGGCTGTTGCACGTTAGGTGTTCAGTCCGCTCTCGTGGTTGCGACTCTGTTCTTGCCTTTTCTCGTGTCGTCGCCAGGGGACCAGCACGCTTGCTAGTGTATTTGCTGTGAGTTCACAGGTGGCGTAAGCAGGAGAGGTCCCGCTGTCTCCTTTTTGTGAGCTGGTGAAGACTGGCCACTGACGCGCTTATTTTTTTGAGGTGGAGGAAAAACTAGATCTTAGGTCTTGTAATTACGCCCGGAGCCTTCCCTCAGATGCCACATGGCCACACCCGGGGTACGACTTTGCTGTTGATTTGAGAGAGTACTGACTCTCAGTTCCACATCGTATCCTTGGATCGTCTTCGCATATAGCAGGGAGCTCAAAGGAAAGTGAGGTTTTGGTAGATTTACAGCTGTTCGATAGCCACATTCAAGGAACGTTCACCAGTGATCAGTCTAACTGGAGGTCTGTAAGGTGGGCAGTGAAGGTGGGTTCTTGGTAAGGGGCTAGTCACCATCCCCCCCCCCCCACCGGCGTTTCCATCAAAAGATTTAAATACAAACACAGATTTGCTTCCCATATTTTCAAAATTATTCACAACTACATTCAGAGAGGGGGAATCTAGGGCATTGTATACCAGGGCTAAGATTTAATAGCGTGTTCATGAGCAAAAGCAATCACGTGGCAACATCAGCTGCGCTGCCCTGTCACCAAGACAGTATCAGTGCCCAGCATTTCTCGAGGACTTACGGTGTGCCAGGCTTTCCTGCATCCGTTACGTCCTGCGATCCTCCCAGAAAGCCAAGGAGTAGGTGTATTAGGGTCTAAGCTAAGCAACCACGCAGGTGGCTCTCTCCTGTGATATCTGGGACACTGGACTCTGCTCCATGAAGTCATTCGGAGACCCCAGGTCCTTCCCTTCGGTTCATCTGCAACCCTGCAACCCTGAGCTGAGGTCACTGTCACTTCTGTATTCCAGCCCCAAAGAGGGAGAGAGAAAAGAAAACCAGAGAAAGCCATTGTATTTTAAGCAAGCATTGCAAAAGTTGTATTGATCGCTCCTCCTCCGGTTCCGTTGGTGAGAACATGGCCGTGTTTGGCCACAGTAGAGGCTGAGAGATGTACTTTAGAGCTGGATGGTTAGAACTCAGTTATGAACAAAGGAGAATGGGCTAGAGGGGGCAGTAGTCTACCAAAGCAGTTACTTCAACGTTGCAACCGTGGAGAGGAAGAAACCGGTTCAGAGAGGGTAAGTCACATGTCCCAAGACACACAGCCGGGAAGTGGCTAAGATGGCCTCCACCGCCTCTGCTGTCTAGATCTTTGGGAGGAGGTTTTTGACTGTCCCTTTACTCAGCAAAAAGCAGCCATGTAACAACCGGGAGAAAAGCTAAGGCAAGCGAAGGCGGCATCCGTTACATGCCTGCCTAGTGTCAGCATCAAGGTGATTTCTCCAGGAGAGCGGGCCGGTTAGGGTGCATCCGGAGTATGTGCCGGGTTCTAAGGAACCGGGTTTTAAGAGGCCCTTTGAGAAGCGTGGGTGTGTACAGAGGGAAGTTACCCCAAGGTCCCTCAGCTGGGGATTCTTGAAATCCTATCCCGTTGACGATAGTCCTGAAACCGGGGGAGGGGTGAGGTGCACAGGAACAGGAGCACACGGCAGTCGCACACTTCACGGCCGTTTGTCAAGCATCTGAGTGCGGAAGGGGAGTTAGATCAGATCGTACACATGGTGTTGCTGTAGCAGTGGTACGGGCATCGCGGGTGGAAGCTGCTGGAAGGAAGGCGGGACGGGCATCGCGGGTGGAAGCTGCTGGAAGGAAGGCGGCAGTCTACTCCCAGGGCTCCTCTGCCTCGTCACGGCAGTTGAGAGCGGGTGGGAAGCCAGTGCGAGAGTGAGTTCTCTGTCACCAGGGGTGTTCAAGCAGCTTCTGCCTGGACTCCTGCCGGAAGTGCTCTGTGGGGAGGGCTGCACTGAGGGCCCCGAGAAGCAGATCCCTCCCCCCGACATTGGCAAGCAGGGCCTGTGCTGCCACGGCGGCCCTCACTCTCTCTGTCCTTCCGCTGCAGGTTCTATGACGAGATCCGGACCCCTCTGCTGTCCGACATCCGCATCGATTACCCCCCCGCCGCGGTGGAGCGCGTCACCAGGACCCTGTTCCCCAACTACTTCAACGGCTCGGAGATCGTCATCGCCGGGAAGCTGGCCCACAGGACGGTGGAGCGGTTGCACGTGGAAGTCACGGCCAGCAACAGCAAGAAGTTTGTCGTCCTGAAGGCGGACGTGCCCGTGGAGCCCCCGGAGGTGGGGAACGACGTGGAGCCCCCGGAGGTGGGGAACGACGTGGCGGGAAGCGCCAGGCCCGAGGGCGGTGGCTACGGGGACCCCAACCACGTGCAGCGGCTCTGGAGCTACCTGAGCACGAAGGAGCTGCTGAGCGCCTGGCTGCACAGCAGCGACGAGCGGGACAAGGAGCGGCTGAGGCAGAAGGCGCAGGCACTGGCCGTGGCCTCCCGCTTCCTCACCCCGGTCACGTCCATGCACTTGAAGAGGTCGGGGCTGCAGACGGACAAGCCGGAGGACGCACAGAGCATGTCCGCGGCCACAGGCCCCGAACCCGTGATGCAGAGTCTGCGAGGCGCCAGCCCGCAGCCAGGTAACCCGCCTGGAGGGGGCGGCCGTGGGGAGCCGACGTGCGTGCTCAGCCCTCCGTGGGCCGCGTCAGCTGGGCTGGCCGCCCGGGCCTCCCGTGTCACACTCCGTACACACCCGGGCCGTCCGCCTTGCCCTCCCGTGTCACAGTCTGTATGAATCGGACGCCCACCTGCCCGCCAGTCTGCACAGGCCGTGGTAAACCCTCGTGTTTGTATCGATGCACCCAGTGCGTCTCTGCAGAGCAGAGGTGGCGTTTGTCCCAGAAATGATGCCGCCAGGTGAAGTCGGTCTGTTGGTAACTCGCGCACTGGAGGCCCGCCACGGATGAGGCAGCACGGGGCAGCGTGGTGAACACACAGATAAACGGATACGGTACTCGGTTTGAGTGCCCCTCTACGTTTTTTAAAAGTTTACTTTCAGAGAGCCAGTGGGGAGGTGTTGCAGAGAGAGGGAGAGAGAGAGAATCTTAAGCAGACTCCGTGCACAGCGCAGAGCCTGACGCAGGACTCGATGCCCCGACCCTGGGATCGTGACCCCAGCTCGGTCACTCCACCCACCCTGGCGCCCCCGCCCTGCTACATTTTTAGGTACTTCGGGACCATGCCATTTTATGTGTTGACGTGCACGTTCACAAGCCGTGGGCGCCCAGAGGTTAGCCGTGCGGACAGGAAGCACACGGGCCCCGAGCGGGAGAACGTTAACTCCTTTGAGCACGCACTGGGCTTTGTGGAAGGCGAGAGAACTCTCCTCTCAGATGCATGGTTTCTGTTGTCCTGAGAGCATACGTGAGGAGCTGTGCTGTCGCTTCTCGAGACAATTCATCCTCGACTGGTCTCTCAGAGCCCAAACAGAAAGTGCAGAGTTTAGTCTCGTGCTGTTTTGTTGGGGGAAATTCGTAGCGACAAGCACAAGAAAAGGAAAAGTAGTTCAGCCCACACAGAGCGCGAACATCCGCAGTGATCCCACTCGGCGGCAAACAGCATGGTGTTTATGCGCGACATGATTATTACATTCCTGCCAAGTTCACATCTCCTAGAGAGGGAGGGGACAGGAACCCAGGGCCCACAAGTGCGGCCTCACCTGTCCCTCGTGCGCTCAACTCTGAGAAGCACCCGGGCCTGGTTGAGAGCGAGCGTGAGGGCAGGACCCAGACACCGCCGTTTCGGCTCGGCTGTGTGGCTCCGGGCAGGTTCCTGACCCTCTCTGGGCTTCTGTTCCCTGGCCTGTAAAACACAGACACTAACGATTTCCCTGAAGGGCTTCCAGGGAAAGATGTACAAGTGTTTGGTCCATAGTAAGCCTTCTACAAATGTTAGACACCCTCGGCCGTGAGGTCTGTAGACCTGGAAATTTATGGAAAAGTTCAGATTATAATTATATGTGGATCTTAACTGTCTTTTTTTTTTTTACACTTTTGTATTTTTTTTTTTTAATTTTTTTTCAACGTTTTTTTTATTTTTATTTTGGGGACAGAGAGAGACAGAGCATGAACGGGGGAGGGGCAGAGAGAGAGGGAGACACAGAATCGGAAACAGGCTCCAGGCTCCGAGCCATCAGCCCAGAGCCCGACGCGGGGCTCGAACTCCCGGACCGCGAGATCGTGACCTGGCTGAAGTCGGACGCTTAACCGACTGCGCCACCCAGGCGCCCCTACACTTTTGTATTTAAATGCTTGTTAAAATTGTGGCAAAAAAAATAACATGAAATTTACCCTCTTAACCATTTTTAACTGTACAGTTCAGTCATGTTAAGTAGACTCATGTAGCCCCAGAACTTTGTTTCATCTTGCAGATCTGAGACTCTGTTCCCTTAGACAACTCTGCTCCCCTCCACCCCATAACTGCATCTTACATACAATAGAATGTTTTCTCCTATTACATGGGCAGAAGTCTTAGGAAGAATAGCTAATATGAGAATTAGGTAGAACTTAATAGAATATTATCTATTTACAAAAGAATAAAATAAGCCTAGGGGCATCTGGGTGGCTCAGTCGGTTTAAGCGTCCAAATTCGGCTCAGGTCATGATCTCACAGTTCACGAGTCGGAGCCCCGCGTCGGGCTCTGTGCTGACAGCCCAGAGCCCGGAGCCTGCTTCCGATTCTGTGTCTCCCTCTCTCTCTGCCGCTTCCCTGCTCATGTTCTCTCTTTGTCTCTCAAAACTAAGTAAGTGTGGAAAAAAAATTAAAATAAGCCTCCACGTGTTACGCCCTCACTCATGTCGTGAGGCCAAGCTCCCTCTTTAAAAAAAGATGATGTTTTTAAATTGCCATGAACACCTTTGAAAGCTGTATTTCACTCACCCCAGACCTCTTGTCTTTCTCTCCCCTCATCCGTGTCCTCCTTAATAACACGGGTGGTTCTCTTTCTTCTGATTTCTAGGACCTGCTCTCAAGAAACCATACACCCCAAGAATTAAAGTCTCCAAAACATCAGGTAAAGAACAGAATGTGGCCGTGTGTCCCTGGGGGGCTGAGGTGTGTACCATGCAGGGCACCGGGTGGTACAGGGCACCGGGCATCCCCAAAGCCAGTTACGGTACCGGCACCTAGAACACGGCCTTTATTCAACCCTCAGATGGTTAGCAAAAGGCAGCAGCGTGAGGCAGCTCCAGGAACAGGGTGGTCCTTAAACCACTGCAGGAACACCGTGGCCAGCACGGCCCCGGGAGCCCGGCGGCTCTGAGGGCAGGAGGGACGGACAGTGGGGCGCGTGTTCGTCATTACTGAGTTAAAAGGTACTCATTTCAGACCTCCGAGGCCTTCAGGCTCCAGCTCCTGGCGTCCCGAACAGGGTTTGTGACTGCTAATTATTATTTTAATCTTTGGCTTTAGAAGGGAAAGACAAATAAAAATACCATGAAAAGCCCTTTGGCCGGCTCTCTGGGATTATAATAAAAATCCAGACGGGATGACAACACAAAGACAGGGTTGTATTCTTAAAGGGCACACGTCTTCCTCGGTGAGTCTCTGTCATCGCCTCGCTGCCATCGTGCTGGACGCGCAGGTTCACAAAGCTGGGAGCGTCCCCGAGGTTAGCCGTGCGGAGGGGGTGCGCGCCGTCTCCGACGGATAAGAGCGCACGCTTCCTAATGCACACGTGCTCTGTGGAGTGCGAGGGAACTTCCCTCTTGGATGCCGTGTGGAGTGATGACGTTCAGACGTCTCCCTCTCCTTTTTGGAATAAGGAGTGTCTTTCCCTGTAGAACGATCCGGATGATTTGAGTAGAAGTGATGTGGCCTGAGCACAAGAAACCCTCTAAGAACTGTCACATCGTTGTGTTCAGACCTAGGGAGTGCCACAAGTATGCACAGCACTGTTAACCTGCTATGGGCGTCCCGGGTCCCCCCATCTGTAAAAGACCAGTACCTTGTATCTGTTTATATAGTCATAGGATGCTTTGGTCACTGCACGGTGAGATCAGCCAGATTCTTCCATGGGCCTTTGTGAGTCATCCTGGGGACACAAAGGGGTTTTCAGCAGTCATACCAAGGACATGAATTTGCTTGTGACTTGAGAACACTGACCATATGCTCACGTACGTGCGGGTACGTGCACGTAACGAGTTCACAGACACGTTGTGTTTGGCATGAAAGTTAGAAGGAGACTAACTGTCCCGTCTCATGAGGGAGGAGAATTGCTGTGGACTGTTGGGAACTATTTTGTCTGGACAATACGAGGCGAGGCTGTTCATGTTCAGCAGAGGTGACCATGAGGACAGTGGGAAGGAACAGGGGCTGGCCACGCTCTGTGGTCTCATCTGTAGGCAAAACTTTGGAGAGCGTTTAAGTCGGCGTGCCCCAGGGTGGGGGTTTCCACTGTCACCCCCAGTGACCCTGCACCCTTCCTGGTCACCGCCATGCACCGGGCTTGGCCGTTGCCACTGTCCTTCGGGGACCACGTATGTCGCTGTCTCCAGTGCCGTGGCGTTGTCACAGGAGTGGGAGGGCTGTCACCACGTCTCTTCCCGGGACAGGAGGTCAAAGAGAAAGGAAATGATCTTTGCGGTGGGGCGAAAGCCTCGTGTCTGGATTTCGGGGACCTGAGTTCACAGACTCCACGCGTGGTAACCCTGGTGCCTCAGCCGCCTGGCCCCTTCCTCACACAGACACGGAGGATGAGGGACAGGCTAGCTAACTGACTTCGGAGAAATCAGAGGGGACTGTTTATACGCGAAAAGCACCCGGTAAATTTCTTTCTCTGTCCTGTTTCTTGCTGGCCTGGCAGTGGATGGAGACCCCCATTTTGTCGTGGATTTCCCCCTGAGCAATCTCACCGTCTGCTTCAACATCGACGGGCAGCCGGGGGACATCCTGAGGCTCGTCTCTGATCACGCGGATTCTGGTAAGTTCTTCCCTCCCTTGTGACCTCTGGGCAAGGTTAAGGTAGGTATCACAGCCCCCTCTGTCCTTGCGATGGGTGTGTGTGTGTGTAAGGGGACATACCACACACTGACGGCAGTGGGCTGGGTGTGGGGCGCGGTGTCACGACGACGTGGGTTGGAAGCGCTGCTCTCACGTGACTCCTTTCGTGGCCTTGGGCACACGTGCTCCTCGTAGCACGGAGACAGTGGTACTTCCTCGGGCAGCCCCACCAGGCTGTTGTCAGTAATGGATCTGAAGTCGTTTTGTAAATGAACGGGTCCTGTGGAGTTCGTCGTGACTTTCCAGTCGAGGACTCGAACAGCAGGAGGGCTGGAGTCCCGCAGTGCTCTCTCCCGGTTCCTCGGCGACGGGGATGCGAAGCCCACAGCTCTGTGAGCACTGAACACCGAGCTAACGAGGGCTCTGATCTCCTTCAGTCTGTAGAGCGGCTGGGTGAAGGAGGTCAGTGTGTGAAAGGCTCTCGACTCACACGCAGGTAACAGTGCCCGAGGGCTGGCTACATGGCATTTCTCAGTTCTGAGAGGATGCATTTCTGGAAGGCTAGGTTACAGAGCGTCCCATGGCCCGGTGACCGTGCGATGTGATTACATAATGTGCGGTCCCGGGGCCCCTTCCCCGCCCTGTGCTCTCACGAGGTTTCCTAGCCTTCGAGCTAAATGTCAGCTTGTCCTCACTCGGGCTCAGCAGTGAGATAGGGGCCTGCCTGTGTCCTCCCCAGAGGTACCCACCTTCCTAGGAGGTACCCACCCACCTTCCTGGCGTTCCTGTGTTCAGTGTGGTGTCTGAGATGGGAAACCGCCAGAAGGTGATGCCTAGAGCCTTGAGGCTGAAGTACCTGGCTGGGATTTCTCCTGTCCCCCTTACCCCTTGTCCCAGGGAAGGCACTTTTCTCCTGGAATGTCTAAGGAGCCGCTAGCCAAGATTTAGAGGAAGGTTATCCCCAAAGCAGAGCAAGACAAGAGTTCATTAGATAGAAGTCTTTGAGTCTTGCCAATTACACCCTCACCAGGCAGCATCTCATGCAGGCCTGGCTGCTCCACGTGGAATCTTCTGTCAGCTGTCCACTGGGACAGCGCAGAAACGTAGGGCCTACATGAGTCTAGGAAAGCCGCCGTGGTGTTAGTGACGATGAAGGAAAAGAAGAATGGAGTTCAGCTTGACGGCAGTCGACATCTTATGCGTGTGCGACCTCCTGGGATCTGATCTGTGTTACGTGCCCATTTTATAGATGTGATAATCGAGGCTGTTTTTTAAAGTGACTTATCCAGGCATACCCACCTAGGAGGTGCAGAACCTGAGTTTTTGGACTAGAAAAGATGTTAATCTTCACATTCTCCCACACTGCCCGTGGCATCACAGGATCGCCACATCAGGATCCGCGGAAACTAGCGGATAGGAAATGGGCGTCAGGGCCATGAAGGACTTTCGTCACTACAACCAGACCCAGTGACAAAGGCAAACAGACATGCACGCCTCCTTCTGTGGTATCTTGACCCACGCCCCCTCTTTGCTGCCCCCACCCCAAGATACGGGAAAGATGGGGGAGGTAGGTTCATACCTTCCTGCCTTCACTCATTCACGCGTTCGCTCATTCACTCGGTAGGACTGAGCGGCCCCTACCTACCCGGGAGTCAGACTTCATGGGGCCGGAGATTCAGAGTCAAGGCCAGAGGAGGGAGGAGATTCTATCAGATGTTCGCGTGCAGGTGGCTGGAAGGTGGGCTGGTCCGCTGACCCTTGTCCTCTCCCCTCTGCCTCCGAGGCGTGACGGTGAACGGGGAGCTGATCGGGGCGCCGGCTCCCCCAGGCGGCCACAAGAAGCAGCGCACTTACTTCCGCACCATCACCATCCTCGCCAACAAGCCCGAGCGGTCGTATCTGGAGATCACTCCGAGCAGAGTCATCCTGGACGGTGGGGACAGGCTGGTCCTCCCGTGCAACCGGAGCGCGGTGGTGGGGCGCCGCGGGCTGGAGGTGTCGGTGTCCGCCAACGCCAACGTCACCGTCACCATCCAGGGCACCATTGCCTTCGTCGTCCTCATTCACCTGTACAAAAAGCCGGCCCCCTACCAGCGGGACCACCTGGGCTTCTACATCTCCAGCAGCAGAGGCCTGTCCAGCAGCTGCCACGGACTGTTAGGTGGGCGGCCGCCCTCACGCCGGGTCGAGCGTAGACGTCAGGTTCCCAGAGCGAAGCTCCTGTTGCCCGTGCCTTTAGCTTGAGTGAGAAGCGCAGTCGTGAAATCACACGTCTTGCCTCCTGGCGACTTTCTGGGACGGGGAGGGGTTCATAAACGAATTGTCACTGGCCTCCTGGGAGAAGGGGCCGAGACCTGGGGGGATAATCCTCTCGGGGTCTGGCTCCTGACTCGGGAAGTTGCAAGCGGAGGGCAGTCCGCGCCCAGCACGGGCGTGAGGCCCCCGTCCCGCCCCGGGCGGCAGGCCGTGTCCTCTGGTTTCCGCGCGAGGTCCCACGTGGGCCCTCTGCCCACAAGTGCGGGGCGGCCGCCGCCAGGGCCTGGTTAGAAAGCAGGATTTCCTGGCACTGGAGCTGGACGGGTAGGGTCCGGCCTGACGGCCAGGGGCGCAGGCCGGGATTCCTTTGGCCTCGGCCGTGCCCTCACGTGACCTGCGGTACTCTGCCGAGTGTTTCCGGAGGAGACCGAACAGACTGCCGTCAGCACCCTCGGCCCCTGCCCACCGAATGCGTGGTCCGGAGGGGCCTGTGGCCGGAGGAGAGGGCACGCCCCGCCCTTCCCCCCCTGCTGTCCTTCCAGCTCTGGTTCCCCGTCTGTACTA